TGCAATGTACAAATGAATTGATAGAGAAATTAAGTTTTGTTATTAATTGTTGTAAACGATTTAAACTGGTTGATAATACAAACAGATGTTTTATAAATAATTTAAATGTACTGGTGATATTAAATTTATTTTGATCTTTTCTTTAGTACATTAAACATCAGTCCATACGGCGCGGCGCGCGTATGATATAGTTTTTTTTTCAAACGTTGCGAAATGCTAAATTTCCCTGCCTCTTCAACCCAAGCTATCTACAGAACCATTGCTTGTAAAAATTAATAAAAATATAGCCTATTTTACGCAAAAAACTATTGGCTACAACTTTACCACAAGCAAAACCTCTCTAACCAAAAATTAAAAAAAAAAACTTAGTCGCATGCTAATTTTGTATGGCACAAATCACGATTTTAAACTAATTTTCCCATAAATATCATCAATTTGTGTTAATAAAGTTGATAGCTTGTTTAAAATTCCAACCAAAAAATCAGCAAGTAGTACTAACCAAAAATCTGCCAATTAAAATTGTAGCACAATTTTAAGTAGGTCAAAACAAAAAAATATTGAAATCATACGTCGAGAGAACTATCGTTCTTTTGAACACACTATACTTTTGACCTAATGCGATTTCTACATATTGAGACAGCAAAATAGATTGTTAAGCAAATATATATTTTTTCGTAGGAACTGTTCACTTCGTCAATTATCAATTACCTAGCTTTTAGCTATTATTTAAGATGGGGACGCCACTATGTGCGTATTTTAACCCAAATATGAGTTAAGGATGAGTGGCACGATCTTGTGGTTTTGTTAGTGACTAAGGATTGTTAGTCAAAAACCCATTAGGTCAAACTCATATACACAGCCGACGTTTTTAAGACTGACTTAATACTTTTTTAACCGAATGGGACTATCGACCTAGCTACAGCACATATCATTTTTGGATCTAACAGTACAAGTATAAATTAGTTGACATCTGTCCTATAACGACTCCAAATTGCCCAATTCGAAAACACGCTTAAAAACTGAATGAAGCATTGTTAAATCTAATGCCCTGATTTATGGCCCTTCCAGCCCTTGAGGGGACGATGACGCGTTTGAGTAAAATAGAAAGTGGATTATTTCACTGGTAAGGTATATATTTACTGATATTTAGGCCTACTTATTACAGTATTTGGTTATTCATCGATAATTTCTAAAGCTCTTTAACTTAAAATCAAAATGATATATTATTGAAGAGAGAGGTTTGGGTTATTGTCAATTTTGATTCAAACACAGGTCTAACGATGTTTCCTACTGTCTAAATTAAAATGAAATTTTCAGCCATAACTGTGCTATATTAAAAAAAGGATAATAACAATGTTTATTTATTCTGTTTCCATATGCTATAATATACAGGATATATTCTCCTCAATCGGGGTCATGGCTAACATGGCTTGTTATACCGATCATTGTTTAAGTGATTACAATTGTTGAATAACCGCTATTTGCAAAGGAGTTTAAAGTATGAAGTAGTGAGTTTCAATTATAGAATTCGCGGAGAATTCTAATTTAACTATACTATTGACACCACTTTCTTAGCTGTAATGAAATGTTCAAAGTGAGTTTTTACAAATAGGTTTCATGTTATTCTTCAATCATTTAAATGTAGTAGCTAAATAAAACATTTATTTAATTGAAGCAAATTAATATATGCCTATTTATATTCACTGTACTGTATATAAAAAATATCGATTGAGAAACAAACAATTACACGTAATAAAAAACCTCACTAGTCCGCTGCATTGTGATAGCTGAAAGTCGTCGGAATAAAAACCGCCGCTACAAGATACAGAAGTTGGTACGCCTGCAGCGCCCTCCACAGCTGCGCGCACCGCTGGCACTGCTGCTCAACACATCCCCACCTAAAAGACGAGCAAGTGGTATGTCGGTCGGGTCGATTAACGACAAGTTGGTTTCTCGTATATAATAATTTAGTTTTACAGGCCGGTCAACTGGACTGACGATGAAATAACTTGTCGACGTACTGGTTTTCAGTATTTATCTATTTAATTTAAAAGACGGTCTAGTGGCCAGACGACCAAGTAACTTGTCGGTCAACTTGTGGCCCCCCCATTAGTTTACGTGATTCTATATTTAAATGTGTTTTTACCGGAAAGCTCGCACTTAGCCCTCACTGTGCATCTATTGAATTATTAAACCAAATAATTATAAAGAATAAAGAGTTTTGTTAAGATAGTGTTTTTGCATACATAGGGTCTAAATCTAAAGCAAAGCACAATACTAGTGATTTTTTCATAAAAAATAAAGATAATAAAGCTAGTGAGCCATTGATGAGTTTTATTCCTCATAGTTATTCTTTGCTTTAAAGCAAAGATGAATACAACAAAGTTCAAGGCTGTAATAATGACATGATCCAATTATAGTCCGTAAGGTATCTTAATGGATAGGCTTCCATGGTCGTCACTTATATATATATATATACAGTCTTGGTCTTCGGGGTTCGACCGCGTCCTTTGGTTATGTACACTATGTACAGAAACTACCGACGTTTCGGCCACATAACAGTCAGCCATCTTCAGGGCGAGCGAGCACTATCACCGTAGTAAACAGAACTCAACTCTCTCCGTAAGGTAGGCGATGGACTTAAGTGATTAGCGTCCCTTTCACCAACGCACGTGCACTCGCCAGCAGGACCCTACGGTGTCCGGAAAGATGGGGACAAGGAATCTTAGGGATACAGAAACTTGGGGACAAATCGGGCTGTGAGCCGAGGGGGAGGCAAACGGAGGCTGACTAAACTATGAGATCGACTCATTAAATCGACTTGTTCTCTTTGTATCTCACCATCAATTTGTCACCTTGTTTAAATGCACTTTTGTAGAGCGTAGGGACAACAGAACATATTTAGAACATTGAAGTGTTTTTGTCGAGTTATTTTATTAGTCACGGAGTGAACTCAAATAATAATTGTAAATGATTATTCAAGCATACATTTATTTTATCAAAATGCATTTGAATACTGTATTTCCAAACAATAGCTTCAACTTCTTGTAGATTTCATAGCCTCCGATTTATGACCGCGAATTTCTCTCGTATGTATTAGAACAATAACACAATATACCTTTTTGTTAATTCAGGAACAACCCTTGACTAGCTATTTACTGAGAAAGATTAAGATTAGTTGTCAAATTTAGTCGAAGGCATCTTGTACAAAGTATTCCACCTATTGTTTAATCCAAGCAAATCCATAAACATTCAGTACTTGGAAAGGTAAAGGAAATGAGGGAATAGAATACAGTGATGTCCCGTTAATCTCCTTGCATGTTTCTCCTAATGGACTTCATTTGCAATCTCTTGGATTTTCCTTTCAAACTGGCCAGTTATTGGGATGTCGGGTCACTCGGGTCAATTCACTTTTGTGTAGTTGCGAGTTTGTGATTGACCTCCAATTTCCAACCAAAATATTGTTTTGGGTTTTACGTGTTAATCGCAAAAGATGAACTCTAAGGTTCAGCCGTTGATAAAACTATTTTTCTGAATTCTTAAAAGTGGTGGTAATTTAGGCCTAATTTTTTCGTCACCTGTTAATACTTACTGACATATTTTTATACAAAACTATCCAAAACACTGTTTTGTATGATATTGGACACGTTTTCTTAAATTCTTTACTGCAAAAGTCACACCAATTACCAATAATGTTACGAGACAACATTTCGTCTGAAAACAAATGCTGATCTGTTTAGAATTGTGTTCGTCTTACAAACTTTTACTTGTATCTGTAAGTTATAAGTTATTACAATAAGTGACGTGTTTTGGAATCACATCCAGTACAATTAATTTAGTGAAAAATTTTACACATTCAATATCGGTACAGGTTTTTTAAAAAAAAAATATTCTCGGTTCAAAGTACCAGTACAAGCGGTACATAACTAAACAAATAAACAAAATACAAAAGTAACCAAATACACCTATAATCCGACGCAATGTGCAAACAAAATACTTTAATGTCATAAAGAATCATATCGAATTTCAGCCTCCTAGGTAAATGGGAAGTGGGAGAATTATTGATGATGAGTGGGTGAGAGTGAGTGTGACGATGAGGGCTTTGCCTTTTATAAGTATACATAGCACATTCAACCAGCTGTTAGTTAAAACAAATTATATTGGACTAAAACAAATCGATGATTACAAAGAATACTTTAAAAAATAATTTGAACATCCTACTACTGTATTTTACTATGCATATTTAATTAATCTGCCATCCTTGTACCGAAGAATTAAATGTATCAATGGTCAGCATTACAAATAGTATAAATAAGTCAACCATAAGTATGTATTTGAATTTGCTTCCAAATGCTGAATTTGTGTCACAAATGCTGAATGTTACAGCTGTTATATTAAGCAAATTATATTGTACTAAAAGCTAGCTAGAAGCATTGACTATTGGAGAAGGTTAGCATCGGCTGCTAGACTTTTTAAAAACTAAAAATTAATTTATAAAAAACTAATTTTGAATTATGGCTTTGAAATTCCCTAGTTCTCAAAATTGTCTTTCTTTCAACACAAAACTAATGAAAATCCATCGACTGGTTGATTCAGAATCGTGAAAAACCCCCATTTACGTTTTAATAATATTTATATGATAGTTTGGACAGGTTTCAACCCTTCCGAGGCGTAATACATATACACAGTTTATATGTAGACTACATTATAACTCATAAAATAGTTCTACAATTAAATGGATCTCCTTTTACAAACGTATATAATAACCAGAAATTTTCAGATCGTCCTTGCGTGTATTTTATGCCACAAATTTTGACGAAAGGCTTTTCATTACATAAACTATACCTATTTACAGTGTTGACCAAACAGTTGGCAAGAAGCATTAATAGATAAGCTATGTACCAAATATGATAATTTTAGCTCTATTCTAATTAAAGTATTCTTTATTGTATTATCTGGTCGTGTATACGTGGCATAACAGACTATGATTGTGTTTGCAGATGAGTGAGAACGAAGTAGTGGAGCCGATGGCCCTAGTGGATTCTGTCAACACTCAAAGACTACAAGTGCTGACTCGCAGCACCCCTACAGAGTGTGCCCATCTTGGTGAGTCAATGGTCTACTGACTGTACACTGTATGCTGTCTCTTCTACCACTTCTCTTCTCTTCAGTTCTCTTCTTCTCTTCCTCTCTTATTGTAGATCCGTAGCCACTAAATATATTTCTTCCTACTTTACTTTGAATATAAAACATTTTTTATTTCGTACATATCGTTCTCCTTCTTTTCCTTTAAACTATTTGTAGTTTACTAATAAATATAAGTCTGTGTAATATACTCTACGAGTTATTGGTAGAGGAAGAACTCAAAAACACATTTAATAAATTTAAATTTATCCTTTTTCATATACAAATCGTTTTAATATATGTGTTTAATACACGTGTATAAAACACCTTAATGACACAAAATGTGGTGATTTGGAATGAAGAACACCCCGGAGTTTCTCTATCTCCAATCAGTAAATACCCCCGCTGCAGCAAACCTGCAGACTAAGCGAATTTCAACTTGTCTGATTACATTATAACTAAAATATTTCCATGAATAAGACATATTTAGGCTATTCCCAATTTAAATAACATTAAACGATTTAACAAGTGCTTAGGTTTGCTGCTACGGGGAAGGTAAAAAGTGTTTTTTGGCCATACGTCAATAGTTTAGGATAAAATTAATAAATTTGCCAAATTTTATCAACATATATCCATAAACAAGTGAATGAATGAATGAATATAGTTTATTCCAAAAAAACATAGGCTACAAGCTGTGATTATAACTAAATAAAGTATAATAGACAGAGACTTTAGTCACTAAAATATTTTATACGAGTTTTAATAAAGCCAAAAATTATAACAATAAAATAAAGGAACTAGCAGACATAGGCAGTGCTACCTGTGCGTCTGCTAAGTTGCTGTCAAATAGAAAAAAGAAAATTGTTGAATTTTGGAATAGCAATTAAAAAAAGACAATAGGTCGTTATTATTATTAGTTAAATAAGTGAATGTATTTCCATGAACACAGTGCTGGTAAAGCACGGGTCACACTAGGCTGCTCGGCAGCCGCTGGTGATCAGCGGCTGGCACCAGCACCACCAAGCAGCGGCTTTTCCACGGGTCACACTAGGCTGCTTGTCAGCCGCTGGTGATCACGATATTAACGATGTGTAAGAAGGAAAAGAACAGCTTTGAGGTTTTGTAACAAAACACTGTAAGCTGCTTATTTGATGTTCTCACTTCTATAAAGAAACGTCCCACAAGCACGTACGTTTAGTTTTGGAATAAATTTATATGAAATCAATAACCTGCTTCCCCGACCTGGTCGGGGACCACCTTAGCTTAGTAATTTCTATGCTACAATACTACTTTAAAGTTTAAAGCTAATAAGTTCTTGTTGCCATTGTGTCCTTTTTTGGGTCCTCATCCAGCACTTAATATTGAGGAAGTGTGTGAAAGAGATATAATTTTATTAAAAGATGCTTAACCGCAAGGAGAGACGTTAGTGGATCAGGTTTTGGTTACAAATAATTTACAAATAAAAATACTTTTTAAAAATACCACGTTTTTAAACGCACTAAAAAAAGAATCAGAAACATACCAAAATGTTTTACGAATGTCACCAGTCACCACATACATTCCAGGCATTACTAGAATTAAGTTAAGCCTCTAATTAAAAAAATGAGACAGTTGCTTTTGTCCTTTAGTGTTAAACCAAGCTGGATATTACCATATCACCATTGACTTTATATCTACACATATTACCTTTGGTCGCCACTGGCACGCTTCTAGAGGTGGTCAGACTACGCTGCTCGCTGGTGTCAGCAAGTGCGAGTGGTCACGTGACCTCTAGTCGCCGCTGCCTCGCTACCAAAAGTTGAACATGTCCAACTTCACCAGCCGCTGACAAATACTCGCCGGCTAGCGATGCCAGCTGCGAATTTTGTGGTCACATCAAGTTGACAGTAGCGGCTTCTTTCAATTCGCCGCTGATACCAGCCTAGTGTGACCCGTGCTTAAGATAGCGCTTTATAGATTTCTGTGGTGGCCAGGAGAGAGAGAGAGAGAGAGAGGGTGTGTGTGAGTGAGTTTCGTGTGTAATGGTGGTAGTGAAGAGAGTGATGAGTGGATTGTAGGGTAAAGAGTACAGTGGGGTGGAGGAGAGTGGTAAATTCGACTGCGGACAGTCCTAACAAAGTGCCAAGGTCAGTCAGTGCAAAGGTCGGATCAAGTGCGCCGGTAGTCCGCCGTGATAATAGAGTCGGCCTCGTCGATATTTAAACTGAATAGGAAATCATTAACGCGGAATTTAAATACCTTTAATGAGTCACAATCAAAAAAATTGAAATCCCTAAAAATGTTGCATATGTTACGATAGACTAGGTGTGAAACATAGTATGAATTAGTCGTAGAAAAAGTATAATTCACTTGAATTGTGGTGATTCCAACTCTAGAAGAATATCTTGTGTTATATAAATGTGAAATATTTTGAAAAATGTTATTGTAATTTTTATAGATGTTTATTAATATTGATTTTACGTACAACTGGCGAACAGTGAGGACTCCTATTTCTTTAAATAGAGCGTCAGTCGGGTAACGTTTGCATTTCCCAAATCCTATTTTTAAAATCAATTTTTGAGCAATATTTAATGGTTCCAAGATACTCCTATAACAGCCACCCCAAGCTATAATACCAAACGAAAGTAACGATTGAACAAAAGCAAAGTAAGCCATTTTTAATTCCTTAACAGTCAAAATATCTCTCATGTGTTTGAAGGCAAAAATTAATTTCCTAATTTTATTTCTAACATAATTAACGTGATCTATCCATTTTAATCGTTCGTCAAACAATACACCTAGATATTTATAAGAATTGACCTTTTCTATACTTTCACATCCACAAGATTTACTTTGATAATCGTCACATTCGTGGATTGTGAGATTGCCTAGATTAAAGTCTGTACTCTTACTAATAGATATAGGCATGAATTTTGTCTTAGAAACATTTAATGAAAGAACATTTTGATTTAACCACTTCTTAATTATCATGAGGTCGTGTGTGGCTCTGTCATACACTTCGGGCCAGGTCCTTCCTTGCAAGAAAATTAGGCTATCATCGGCAAATAAAAAGATTTTACCAAAGATGTTTAATCTTGAAATATTATTTATATAAATTAAGAATAAAACTGGCCCAAGGTTGCTGCCTTGGACCACACCATAGTCTACTGGCAATACATTACTAGTAATGTCATTAATGGAAACAAATTGTGATCTGTTACAAAGGTAGCTTTGGAACCATGCAAGGGAGTTTCCGCGAATACCAATGTATTCCATTTTTCTCAATAATTTTGAACGGTCAACAGAATCAAAAGCTTTTTTTAAATCAAGGAAAATTAATGCTGGATGGTTTTTTACTGAAATCGCAGAATTTAATTCTTTATTAATATCGAACAACGCATCTGAAATATTTTTGTCCTGACGAAACCCGTACTGACGCTCGCTGAGTATGTTATTGATTTGTAAGTAAGTAACTAATTGGTCTTTCACCACTCTTTCAATCACCTTAGTAAAAACACTAAGCAAGGAGATCGGTCGGAAATTAGTTTTATTTGTGATGTCATTTGATTTGTATAGAGGAAATACTTTGGCTAATTTAAGACATTCTGGGAAGGATCCTGTGGTGATACTCAAGTTGACTATATGTAACAGCGGCTCCCACAGAATATTAAAATTATTTTTTATGACGTCGGCCGATACACCATCATAGCCCGGAGCAGACCCTCCCCTTAAACTGAAGACATAGCGTCGGAGATCTAGTTCAGTGATTGGTTGAATCGTAAAGTCGCAATCAAGGCGGTAGTCAGAGTCATTCAAAACTGGGTCCCCACTATAATCAATTGCGTCAGCGAGTGATTTACCTACTTCCGAAAAAAATTCATTGAACTCATCTGCTACTTGTTTGTATGTTGTAGAAATCGGTGATTGCGAGCTAGAAACAAATTTTCCAATAGGAAAGGGTTCTTTTTTATTTACCCTGCCAGCCAGTTCATTGATTAATCCCCATAGTTTCTTGGGATTTTTAGATGCTTCATTAAGTTTTGATCGGTAATAATTACGTTTGGTTTGCTTTAAGTTAGTATTAACATTTGTCTTTAAATTATGGTAAAATTGTTTCAATTCTAAATTAAAGGGTTGTCTTTTAACTCTTTTGCTGATTTTATCTCTAAATCTGATCTGTCTGATTAAGTCAACGGTTATCCATGGTTTGAGTTTATTGAGCCTTGTTGATTTGTTACCAACTAATTTCTTTGAAGAATTTATACAATTAACAATTATATTACTAAAATGGCTAGAACAAAAATTAATGTCGTTTGAGTTTAAAACAGGGGCCCAGTTAGAATGTGTCAGTAGGTGTGATAGTGACGTATGGTCTATGTACGTGTGTGGAGTAGTGTCTTGTGACAAAGCAGGTTGTGTTGTAGTGGGTTTAGTAATAGTGAGGCCAGTGCTGTAGTGATCAGTGATGGTCGTTTGAATCACAGCTGATTTAATATCACATTCGTCGTTATATTTTACAAAAATGTGATCCAAGCAGCTCTCGGATACCCCAGACACTCTTGTAGGTTTGTCAATACATTGTACAAATCCTCCTCCTATTAGACAATCCAAATATTTTTCTGTTATACAATCTTTTCTAATAAGGTCAAAATTAATGTCTCCCATGAAAATGCAGTTTACATTTTTATTGATTCTATTAAAATAATTTTCAATTTCATTCACAAAACTGTCTGGGTTACTATCAAAGGTACGATAAACAGCAAGTATTAACATTTGTTTTTTATCAAACGAGAAGGCTATACTCAACCCGTAAACATCTCCTAAAGTGACCTGTGTTGCAGTAGCAGAAAGTCTTTTGTTAGTGTAAACAATGACTCCGTCATTTTTGTTTTTATGTGTATCAGTCTGGTGCATGTCAAATCCGTCCAAACCGGTTCCCTCCCCTCCCTCCCCCAACCAACACTCTGTTAACACTATGACATCTAGAGAAGAAATAAAATCAT